CCCCCAAAACCCCAAAACCCCATGGATCATAGATTAATATATTTGAAGAGAAGTCTAATAATATTGATGATTGGCTCACTTTATTATTAAATTAAGAAATCGAACCAATAATTCTACATTTATAATACTTATACTTAATGAGAAATCTAGACATCTTAGCTAAATTCACAAACATATTGTAATAGTTATCATTTCTATACTGCTAACTAAACTTTCAATAATAGGTCAAACATTCAAGGAGAGATCTCATAGATCTGCCTAGATGAATTTGGACATTTCTTATTTATTTACACAAAAGCTAATATCCTATACACCTTTGTTTATAATTAGACTGACAAGACAATGGCAACACCGACTGAAATTCCATCTATTATTCACCTTAGAAAGCAGATTGATTTCAGTGATTAAGATCCAACCATCGAAACTGCTGAACTTATATCTATTGACTATATATAAGAGCTTTAAGGAGTAGTTCTGACATTTTCTAGTGGATCTATATATCTTTACAGAGTCTAGGAGCATTAAATAGAAGAAGCAGGTGTCCTCCCAGGTGGAATTCTTGCAGCTAAATGGTCGCCAAATGAAGAAAATTTTGTTGTTGCAAGCGGAAATGGTAGATTGCTTATGTTTAATGCTGAGTTTGATGTTGTGTGTGAAACTGATATCGATGATAATGACCTTACATTTTGGAATGTTAAGGATCAATCTTAGTAAGACAAAACTATTTGTAATGCTCAAATCTCATGGAGAGGAGATAGCCAGATTTTCATTGTCAATTACTAAATAAATGGTGGATTCAAATGTCTTACGAGAGATGCATAGAATGAAATGAAAGTTTCGAAAGGACCAGCTAGAGCTGATGATAAATCAGTGTTCTCAGTGAGTGAAAAGCCTCTACCTCAGCTTCATAAACCAGTGTGTTTTATGGCTAATGGAAGCCTTGCTGCAGGATATTCTAAGAGAACTCTTCCAAATAAACAAATTAAAAAGGAGATTGTCCTTTGGGAAAGAAATGGCCTCAGACATGGAGAATTCAGCTTACCAGACCAAGAAATAGAGGTGCTAGGTCTAGAGTTCTCTTAGGATTCTATTTTACTTGCTGCTAACTGTTATCACCAAGAGAAGAACTAACACTCTGTGATGGTCTTCACCAGAAGTAACTGGAAATGGTATTGCAAGCAATAAATCTTTGTTGATAATAAGCTTTCTACTATGAAATGGTTATTTAACAAGAAACAACAATTAATTCTTGTCTAAGTAAATGGAAGAGTTGATTTTATTGAGTTTAATTAGAACTATCAGACCAGTAGCTCCAACTTTAATCATCATGGACTCGATAATTTCTCCTATACTGCTGTTGTTGACTATAACTTCCTAAATCTAACTCCATTGGGTAAATTTTTAATGCCTCCCCCAATGTTTGAGAAGTAGTTACAAATTCAAGGAGGAGTACCTTCATGCTTCTACATGTATGGGCATCTTGCAGCAGCTTTAACGCAATCTGGCCAGTTGACTCTATTCAACTGTGTTGATCACCAAAACAGCCTAAGAGTATTCGACATAAATGCTTTTGCTAAGGGTCCAGAGGTCCATAAAATAATTATCTTGAAAAATAATGGCTCAGACTTAAACAGTGTAATAGGAGTATAAATTATCATTATTGAGAATCTTTCAGACTCTTAAACTGAGGAGAGGTTGATTGTACTAGAGGTATCAGCACAGTCAGAGCTGAAGCTAATTAAAGAATTAAGAGTATGCAAAGTCTATAGTGCTTGTATTAATACCAAGTATCACCACTCTGGATTCAAGCAGCAATCAGAATTTCAGCAAGAAAACAACTATTATATCACAGCTGAAAGTTCAAATGAAGACAAACCCTCTGCAATGTTCAACTTCCATTAATAAGATTCTGACAATGACTATATCTTAGTTCAAACAATCGAGAAATAAGTTCAAAAGGTATTTTTAAATCCAGAATCACAAGAAAACATTGAACAATTGTTCCAAATGGCTCATTTGTGTTTCAAAATTAACACAGCATATTTATCTGGCAAAGAAATAGTCATTGGATTAACCCAAAATTTAAGACTCTATCTAAACGATAAATTATACTCTAATGAATGCACTTCTTTCTAGCTGAATCAGTTTTTCCTAGCTTTCATTAATACCACCTCAGGCCTTTCTCATGAGCTGTTTATATATGATCTCAATAGAATATTACCAAAACCACTCTCAGGAAACAAAAATGACTCACCTTAGTTAGATAGACTAGAAGATGATAGTAATTTCTTCGTGAGAGCAGTTGAGAGGGGCTCTAGATTAGTTGTTATCAACGGTACAAAGACAATCCTATAAATGCCTAGAGGAAATCTTGAAGGCATCAGTCCCAGAATTATTTTGCTTAATTAGGTTATTGAGGATATAGAGAACTTAGAGTATGGAAAAGCATTTAGATTATTGAGAAATAATAAAATCGATATAAATTTAATCTACGATGTTAACCCGGAGAAATTCCTAACTAATATTGAGAAATTTGTCAAAGAGGTTAAATAGATCGATTATTTGAATCTGTTTATCAATTCCCTAAATGATGAAGACAGAGGTAAAGAGCTTGAATTTATGAGACCTCAAAATGAAGAAGACCTTATTAGGAAAAATCATATTTAGTTCATGCATGAAGATATCGGTGGGGGATTAACTGAAAAGAAGGGTAAAATTAACATGGTTTGCGAGGCATTAAAGGCAGAATTAGAAAAGATTAATCTGTAAATTTTCTATTTTTTATTTTTATAGTGGAAACAAATACCTACTGCCAATCCTTACTACATACATTAAAAAGCAGCCTTAGGAACTGAAGCAAGTATTGAACTTGATAAAGCAAATGTAAAAATCAGAAGAGGAATAGAATTTAGTTAAGAAAGTTGTTCCACCTCATCTCAATCCAGAGAGTAAGCTTAAATTTTATTTCAACATAATTAGCAATGAAAAAGGATGTTGACCCTAAATCAGTTAAATAAGGCTCAAGGGATGCATTGGAATATGTTTCTTGGCTAGTTCAACCTAATAAGTTGTATGATGTTGCTCTCACTACCTATGATTTCGATTTGGTTACCCTCGTTGCAACTCAAACTTAGAAAGATCCAAAAGAATACATTCCTTACCTAAATGAGCTCAGATAATTCGATCCAATTTATATGAAGTTCAAAGTACATTTGGATTTGAAGCAGTATGATAAAGCAGTAAAAAAGATTGCTAAAGGGGGTGAAAAATATATTGATGAAGCACTTAGCATTGTGAAAAAGCATAGACTTTACAAATAAGCTTTAGAATACTATAAATATGACAGTTAACTAGAGAAAAAAGTAAAACTTACTTTTGGTGAGTATCTTGAATCCAGAGGCTACAGTGAGGAGGCTGGATTCCTTTATAATGCTTCAGGTGAGGTCGAAAAGGGACTTGATGCGTTTAAAAAGAGTCTTAATATAGATATGTGCTTATCGCTAGCTTATCAGAATAAATTTGATGAGAAATAAATGAGAGTATTAATTGAGGACTTAGTGGAAAGACTTTAAGCTAGTAGCAAATTTGAAAATGCTGGTGACTTAATAATCACTCTCTAGGATTATAGACCTGAAGATGCAATAGATTGCTACAATAAAGCTAATAAATTCTAGAAAGCTATTCAACTAGCTACTAAGCACTAGAAATATGAACTTATCAATACTCAAATAAGAACCTAAGTAAAGATTGCTTTTGACATTAAGAAAAATTAACTTATTTAAATCTTGCAAGAATTCGACAAGAGATATCTAAGGCTTAAGATTGTTCAACACTAAAAGAAACATATTCCTCACTAGCTTATGTAAATGGATGGTGGAAATAATGCCTTTAAGTTTGATGCTGATCAAATGAGTTCATCAGGAGCTTCAGTACTTTCAGAGTCATAATACTCATCTTCAGGCAGATCAAGTGCCAGTGGCTTTTCAGAGACTTCAAAGAAGAGTATGAGACAAGGTGCTAAGAAGAAGGCTCAAAAGCAAAAGCTAAGAAAGAAGAGAACAGTCAAAGAAGGGTCACCTTTTGAAGAGGAATTTTTAATTGACATTTTAAAGGAAGAAACAAAAGTAAGTATTGATGATAAAAACGAAGTTAGAGAACTTATGAAGTCCCTATTATACTTTGAAATGATTCAAGAGTCAACTGATATTCATGGTCTTATTGAGAAGCTGCTTAAAGCTCAGCATAATTGTCAATCATTAAGATTAGTCGAATAACAATTCCACTTAGAGAAAAATCCATTTATTCAAGATGAGTTTCCGGAAGTTTTCAGTCAGAAAAAGAAAGATGATGAATTCCAAAAAGTGCTTGCTGAATGGTAGGATGTCAAATTCTTCAAGCATTGATATTTTTATTGCAAAGCATTATGGCAATAATTAGTAATTCTATTTAAAATTTTGTATTAAATGATCTTAAGGGGTTTTGGGGTTTTGGGGTTTTGGGG